TGCAAACCTGCCATTCAGTCAACTAGCGGCACGGCGGTGACGTCAAGAAGATAGACAGCCGGGGCGCTGGGCATCATGGGAGATGTCTTTACGACTCCGTTCCGCCATCTAGTGGCGGATAGTAGAATTAAAAAAAGTCGCACGTGTGTAGTTACAGATATCATCGATCGGGGTCGAAGTTCGTTTTATGTAGACGCAAATCGCGAGTGCGCGGGAATATATAAATAGGGGCCGTTTCTGCATCGAACTTGTCGCTCCCCGACTTCTCCAACGCCCATTATACAACTTCAAAACCTATCACAACTCGATTTTGTATCCGGAGCAAATTCCATTAAGCCAGCAAATTTTGTATTTCCTACTTAAACACTACATTTTAAAAGATTTCGCTTCTATACGCTTCATTAAACTCCATTAAACATCGTTATCCACAATAGAAAACAAAGAAAACTAAACCGTGATCGATTCAATTAATCCCGTTACAGAGGGAGAAGATTATATTAATTGTTTCGATCGCTAATTATTGAATCAAGATCGAAAAGGGATATTTGAGAATCGGTCGTCTAAGGCAAAGGAAAGTAAACTGTATAAAAAAACCGAGTTCATTAACGTCTAAGGAGATGAGTCGGGGAGATTTTGAGCGGAGGAAGGCTAACCCACGCCTGCCACAAACAAATTATTAGAGTCTTAACTGCCAGATTAAACGTATCACCCCAAACTATAATATTGACCCGACCAATAAATAAACCGAGAATTTGAATTGTGTTATTTGTGAACGTTTAAGACAAGTGATGTAATGCTTCTCTTAGACGAGACCCGGAAACCGGCCAACTAATTAGCATAATATTCCACTTACTGTCGTATAATTACAGCATATAGGATATCTAAGGAAATGAATCTCGGGACCAGTTCTCTCGACGTCATCGACCAAACAGGACCTCTCGGACTTATTCAGTTATGATAGATGACTGACTACTGACACGCAGGCGTTTGGATGACGACCAACAAGTTGCGCATAATGCAAACAATTAAATTTGAAAGGGGGAAGGAAAAAACTCTTTACGTGATCAAAATGCTCGAAACAATTTCTTAAAGTTGTTTTCATTAACTTTTGACCTTACCGGAGTATAAAAAAATTTATTCGTATTCCGCAAATTACTTTTGGGAAGTTCTATTTTCGGCGGCAAATTTAGTTAAAAGACACCCTATACTTTGTATCGAATATTAATGACGGCTTCACGCTCTAATAAATCAAAATATTAACATAGAATGAAAACGGCAGAGTTATATACACACGGAATAGACTACCGATGGTACATAATGTGTGCGAACACAACCGCAAGTGTACGTAATTAACCGAAAATTTAATATTCTTCCTACGAATAGGAGATGGCAGAAAACGTCGATAGTATAAGCGGAGGAGCGAAGTATGTCCCCGTACGGTTTCGGAAGTGTGTCCCGGAATTAACCCGTGGCCATTGGTCGAAAAGGCAAGTAACCGATTAAACTGGATGTTAGTTTCGTCGGTAGAGAAAGTCAAAACGCCAGGGATTATCGACTGCTAAAGATAGAAGTCGGGATCAGAAGGGCGATACTCGACTCTCCTCCCTTCTAACTTCAAAGAGTCCGCCGCTGGCACCACTGCGCAGACGCAGTGCATTGCCGCTCGCCGGCGTATATTTAATTGTCGGGGTTCGACAGTAAAAGGGAATTACCGATGCGCTCGCTTTGTCCAATAAAATGTAAGATTTTACTAGGAATAAAAAAGTATTTTGGTAGCTTTTCAGATTAATAACCTGCAATTGTCAGGGCGCGGTGATTGGGGGTCGCCATGTCTATTTAGTTAGCGGAAATAACGATAGGGGGAGCTTTCGTCCATTACTTTCCACGCCACCTGTCTATATTAACATAAATGAGCTATTGATAGGACGCGGCTCTTCTGCCGACGGCTGTGTTGTGCCGCTCTATTTTCATTCCAAATGGTTTTTGTTTCTGACACAAAAATTGCCTCCGTAAGCGCTCGATCCGTTAAAACGTGCATAAAATTTCCAAACCGCATTAAGGCAAAAAGTCATTTATCGGAAAAATTCTTTCTAATGTCTGGTAGACGGTTCGATCTCGGTTAGAAGCAGTCCGAACTCCCACGTTGTCACGTTCCTACTTCGCCGTACATAGTCCGAATTATAATTTGTTTTTATTTAAAATATAAAAATAATATTGTGCCTTTACGAAATTTATTATTCGCGTTTCCGATTTCGTGACGACTTATTTTATAAATCACGCAAAGCGGACATTTATGTTGTGTAAATAACTTCGAAAGTACTGCCGCCTCTATTCATTTATGCACCGAGAACTTCGTGACGGGCCACTTACCACTATCAATATTCTCTCACCCGCCATTTATAGAAATTCCCCCGAAGTTGATTAAGTACAAATCATTCTAAATTAAAAAAAAAAAAAACTGTTAACAAATCAGTAGTCCATTTCGGTACCACGCGTCTTACCAAATTTGGCAACTGACATGAAGTGTGCCAATCTGGCGTATGGATTCGTGAGATTTTTTGCTAACGGAATTTATTGTTTTGTACGTTATTTTGGATTGGTCCATATTCGGAATTTACAATTTAATAGGTTATATTATATACGAAATAAAATTAATATAGATAATTTACCGCTTTATCGGGCAGATGTCAAAACGTAACACGACGATGACAGGGTTAAATGTTCCGAAATGCTCCTAGCTACTCCGCACTTCATCGGAAAGCCGGGATGCCAATCACAGACGGATGGATGGATCACACCGGCTACACATCGATAGCCAGGAATTCTCCCCGTTTGCAAGAAATGTGTTAAACAACTGCGCTGCTGGATTAATAAGCATTTAAATTCGAACTTTTAAAATACAACACAGTATTAATGCATTGTATATTTGTACTACGCCATATATTTTTAAAAAATCTTAATTATTGCGCTAAGAAATATCTACAGAAAAGAAAGATCGTATGACGTCAACGAATTTTAAAAATTTGTGATAAAATCAAATTTTGGCACACGACTTATTCAAACTTTTTTTTTTTTTTTTTACTTCGCGTAGATTTAAAAACGGCCAATCAGAAGACATCGACGACGTATTAAATATCCTTAAGAGGAAAATTCATTTCCATTACTTTTAATGCGTTTTCTTCAATTAATGCAGAAACAGAAACTGGCGATTAAAAAAAAATAATAAGGTAAAATTTAATTAAGAAATCTCAATCCTGAATATAAAATTTTGAAAAATTTAACACGACCTTTTTAAAAATATAATCCAAAGAACTTAAACATTATTTCAATCGTGTAAATTTAAATAAACGACGAATTTTATATATTTACCTACGATAAGGTCTCTCATTTACAGACGACGGTCATTTGAACGTTCCTTACATCGCAACTATCATCAATTATAAATGCACCCATTAATGATCCTCGAACCAGATTATAAAAAGACCACAAGTCTATAATTTTCAGTAACTTAATATTATATATAATCGATATAAGGTAAAAAAAAAATGCTCATTACTAGGGCGATGGTAAGCATCGCAATGAATTTACGCATACTAAGAAACGTTTACGCGAATTAAAAACCGCATTCATAATTCGATAAGATTAACAAGCGAAAAAAATGTCCCGCGGCAAAAAGCGAAGGATAAAATATCAAAATACGCGCAAATACTTTTATTACGAATTTTTAACAAAAATTTTTATTTACAGTAAAATATATTCTAACATTTATTATCTATAATACATTAGTTAACAGCGACTCATCGATGAGGCGTAAAATTTGCTTGTCAAACTTTCAACTATTGATCATTTCAACAAGTTTACTTCCTTTAAAATATCACAAATCAACTTATTTAACCATTATTAAATTAAGAAAATTATTTTCATATATATATATATATTTTATTTATTTATTTACTTTTAATTAAATCTAAACTTTAATGAATTCTCAATTGATAAAGACCCGTTTATATAATCGATATACAGGAAGCTAAAAATTAATTTTATAAATCATTTTTCAGACTGCTCTATAAAATCCGTTTCGAATTTAAATACGGAACTTATAAAATACTAATTAGTGAAGATTTTCGAATAGAAGATGCGATCCCTAATCATTTACCATCAAAAAATGGTTGAAGTTTAACACGTCAAACTGTATTAGGAGTAAGTTATAAACAGAAAAAGAGTCGATCAACAATTACTACCGTTATCCCATCATCGTTTTTCTCAACCAATCAAAGTAGAATGCGACAGAAATAACTCGTGTCACCTTGGCAAACTACATCGGCCCTAGGGCTGAATTGTTTAAGTTAAATCACGTCCGAAAAAAAAAAACTAGACCTTTCTGGCAATATCTTCTTTCTAAGAAGGCCTAAGTTGGGAGAATAGCTTTTCCTAGAGACGATCGTAAAGCTTTCCTTTCTCTTTTTTTCCCTCATCTACATGGTCGTTTATGATTTTTATGACTGAGAAACAGATTGTTAAAACTCACCTTGACTGACCGACAGGTGACGGGCCACATACTACTTTAGGGAAGCGTAAAAAAAAATTAAGCAGAAAAATTATCAAAAAATTCTTCCGGTATTTTCGACTTTGTAACGCCGAAATTCACCTTTAATACAAACGTGTGTTCGCCTGAGAAACGTCGTCTTATTTACCGACGACACTTGTTATTGTTCTTAAATAAAATTCTTATATTTATATAACAATGCAAAATGGCGTTTCCGCTCTTAAAATCTACAGAATTTGAAAAATTTTCTTAACATTAAACAGCGAGGATCAAACTTCCAATAATCGCATATCGAGTTTATTGACTTCTTTCGGTCTTAGAAAATACTGCGCCCTCTAGTTATAAAAAATACTACTACTGGCAATCTTCGATGGTACCTTTTTTTCTTTACAATTGATCGTATAATTACCACACAGGAGTTAAAAATTGAATTCATTTCGACACGACTTTGAAATTAAAAATTCCCACAACAAATATACTTTACTTTTCAAAGTTACAAATGGGGATAATTTACATCTATGATTGTATTTAATAATTATTTACAAGACGAGGGTAATTAATCCGAAAACAGCATATACTATCATTATAATGAAGCCATACGGAAAATAGATTTCAATCTTTACATAAGTCCGTCGTTTAAGTGTATAAAATTAGAATTACTGGGTCAGAATCCAAGAGCAGTAATGCTTTGAAGCGGTTCTATTCGTTAATTCTTTGTAAAGCACTCACAGAATTCGAGTACTGCGATGATGATCCTGTGTATTTCCTCGTTTAATTCTCACCGAATTTCAGTCTGTTACCAACGTTTTGTATAAAAGATGGGAATTCGATGCGTTTCACATATTCTAATTTTTATAATTCTTTTTTTTTTTGGCCATTATATACTTGAGTGTGAATGAAACATGAAAAAGTTGATTAAAAATATTCTGGCCAAAAACTTATCTTTTATACTTCTTTTACACACTTACATTCTTTTTTCCGTTAAAAATACTGTTTTATAACAAGTATTACAATTCAAAGTATACTAATAACTATGGAACAAAGTCTTGAAATATTTTTTCTTTCTCAATACAATTTTTTATATGCAATAAAAGATTCAACAATTAGTGACAAAAATTTTAAGAACATCAAAATTTCAATCTAAAAAATAATAATAAAACATTAACATTAATAAAATGAATCCAATCAAATCTATGGTAAATTTGCTTTCTTATAAATTAGCATAAGTTTTTAAACACAAAATACAAAAATGCACTCCTTAGTTGGGGAAAAAATAGACAATAACTATGATTAAATTCATGATTTTGCAATGCTGTTGTAAGAATTTTTGCACCTAAATCCCTATTTTTTGACAATTTGGTCTATTTTTTTTTTGAGGTATTTACTAACTATTCTTGTAACTGAAAATTTCATACAATTTATATCAATACCACAAACAAGTATCACTAAAACAGTGATTTGTCTGGTATTCCAATATTCCAACCATATTTTAACTCCAGTTTCCTCTGAAGTATGTTTATAACTACACAATAACAAACATGAGATCCTATTAAATTACAAATATTATGGTGAAATCATTTGGTTTTGCACTTCAAATTTTACAACACTACCACCAGGTAATGAGTTTCTGTACAGATGTCAGTTTTCTTACATTCATATATATATTTATATATATATATGTATTCATACACGCACACATATATATATAAATCAACATGATAAGTCAATGTGCTATTCTTTCATCTTAACTGATTTTTATCATAACATTTTAAACTTGAATTTGTTACAAAAAATGATACTAAGTTTCTTGCCAATTATATCTTTTATCACAGTATTTTTTTTTTACACAAACAGTTGTTTATCAAAATCACTTTTGGAATATTCTCGATGTTTAAGCAAGGCAAAGCACAAATGAAAATTAACTGTAAAGCTATTGACAAGGAAATGATATGGCATAGTCAAAAGGGAAGTGCCATTTCCAATATGGATTTGGAAATATGAGCAGGGAGAAAAATCTCCTTTGTGGCAGCATGATTATATATGCACTTTAGTTCCATTTTTGCCATTATTTCTAGCACCCTTCATTTAGACTGTGAAGATCCACGGATTGTTTCCACGTTTCGATAAAATAGTAAATAAGGAACACGTGGAGGACTGTGCCGTAACACTTGAGCTTCAGAAATAACACTGATGTTGCGATCGTCACAACGCAGCCAAGTATCACTATTACAATGATAAACATCTGCTATATAATGTCCTTTGACTGCTTCTTCACCATCATGATATACAACTGTAATAACAACAATAAATTATTTAAAACAGAATAAAAGGTCAAAACACAATAAAAACAATCATATACCTGCAATCAGTTTATACACATGCAAGTGTTTCAACCTCTTCATCTCATGTGAAAGAAATTCTGCAATTAAAAAAAATTAATTATCAATAAAGTTAAATTGCATTTAATTTTTCTCAGAAAGCAACTGGTACATAATAATTCATTTACACTGTGTAGTTACATAATAAAACTTATCTATATTCTTAGTTTTATTTGGCAGACTTACCATTTGTCTATATCTATATAAAAATGTTAACAAATCTGATTTTTTAAAGATGTTAACACAAAAATATGCTGTTGTAAAAAAATATTTTTTAACCACAATATTGCAGATATTGTGGTTAAAAAATAGGGTAAAGTTTAAATCCAGTGCACATACAAACATATACATTTATATTGTATTTATATAGAAATTCTTAAACGAATTTAATAACTTTTGTTAGTAACCATTCCATATTAACCTTTAAGTGATTACACATGCAATCCAAAATCATTCATTCATAAATCCTCTTTGATCAAGAAATAACAAATTAGACTCCCATACAATTTAATTACTGTTCACTTCACAATTCCATACTACTTTAGTTAGTGTGAAAAAAAGAAAGCCAACTGCATCCATTCATGTACTTTTTCTTCTTATATACTAGAAATTTCTGGAAAATTCTTTAACTTTGAAGCTATTCAGCCTTGTCGCTTTCAAAGTACTCTAAGTATACAATTGTTGTTCTGTATTTTGCTAAAAAATTGATCAATCAGCAGCAGTGTGTGATTGTTCACTGCCATACCTTGTCAAAGAAATTCATCGTTGGAATAGAAAAAACCCTCAGCATCACTTTAACCACAGTTATCTAACTTGTTTTAGCCATGATAATTCTTTTGATATCCACTGTGATGAGTGAACTTTTGTTTTCAACATCATAACCCAAACCAATCTCATCCCCAGTAATATACAGTGGTACCTCAGTATACATCTGCTTTAGAATACGTCAAATTCGGAATACGTCCTGTTTGGACGAAACAAATTTTGCTTCGTATACGACTTAATCCAATTTTACACACCATCTATGAACAAGTAGCACTATTAGTGTACTAGACCAGACTAAACGTTCGCACTGCCACGGTTTATAACTTTGTTAAATTTCTTCTGATTTTAATTTGTAAGTAAAATTTTATTATTTTTATTAATCATGAATTGCGAAAAGGCAAATGAAAATCAACAGAAAACTAAAAAATGACTAGAATCACAATGGAACTGAAAAAAGAGATTGTTGAGAAATATGAAGGTGGCATGCATGTTCGAGATTTTAACTGTTGCATGCCGTATTCCGAGAACGACGATATCGACAAACGCAAAAAATAAAGACATTATTAAATTTGCTAACGTTGTGAAAGGGGTTAAATCAAGTTCTAAACAGAGATTGAAGACATTAGATCATGTTGAGAAATTGCTTTTGCTTGGATAACTGAAAAACAGTGTGCTGGCAACATCCTATCAGAAGCAATTATTTGCAAGAAAGCTAAAAAGATACATGCTGATCTCATGAAAAATCAGCAGGAACTAGCCAGGAAAGGGAGGTGTTAAAGCCAGCCATTTTTTTCACATGAGAACGGATTAAGCATTTTTACATTACTTCTTATGGGAAAGGTTGGTTTGGTATACGTCCAATTCGGTATAAGTCCAAACATCAGGAACGGATTAAGGTCGTATATCGAGGTTCCACTGTATATAATATATATTAAAGTTTACATCCTCATTTGCTCAATTCAAGAGTTCTTGAGTTACATCAGTTTGAATTTTTTCTTTTCATCATCAACCAAAAGCAAAGCACAAATTCAGTTGTAATATAACATTCTCACAAACTAGTTACAGATTAAAATTTTAAAATGTTCATTGTGAATGTTGGCTGTAATGCAATGCAAGCCTAAATTTTGTGCAAAAATCTTGTAACAAACAGTTATTGAAATATTCACTTCTTCAGCTACCTTATACCAGGGGTGGCCAAAACGTGGCGCATGCGCCAAACTTGGCGCATTGGACTATTACAAGTGGCGCTTCAATCAGTTCTGAGCGACATTGCCAGATTTGGCTTCTTTGCAATTATGAATATGTATTACATAGAAAATTAATTTTTTATAGTCTGTCTTTGCAACTTTATTTGTTGCACAATTCGTTGCAATCAACTTTAAAGATAAAATGAGTGTTCTCCACATAGTAAATTACAGTATATGCATGTATGTTTATTTTCGATCAGTTTACAGGTGTCTAAATGACAGTGCTAACGTCCGACGATAGTGCTACCGTCCGGACAGTCCGGGAATCGGATTGGACTACTAACTTCTTTTCCCGAGTAGTTCCTGCGACACCTGTTGACCTTGTTTTTGTTTTCTTTTTACTTTTGCCTGTACGATACACGATACTTTCGTGTTTATGTACACCACTAATATCGTATAGAACTATTTTATACGGGTAACTACACTACAACCGCATTTTTCGTTGCTTGTTCTGTGGCAAAACTGAATTTTCGTCTTATAAATTGAAATACCTAATTAAGGGATGGCCGAAATCCATCTCCGCCCCGGGCTGCTAACACCACCCAAAGTACTGTACGCCACTGCGCATCTGAACTCGTCTATCTAAAAATTGGCGCATGGTATGCAAAAGGTTGGCCACCCCTGCCTTATACAGTTAAACAACAGTTATAATGAATGACCTCGCAAACTTTTGTAACATTTTCACTGTTTTTCAGTGATCCTTTGGTATTAAGGGTGACTATTATCAACATCAAATGAAGTTTGACCATCTTTGAAGTGTTTCCACTGCTGATAATTTTGCATTTGGTTGAGTTTCATCCCCAATACTGTTTTTAACATTTCAGATGTCTTTGTAAAAGATTTTCCAAGTTTGATGCAAAACTTCACATATGATGATATATAAAGACACAGAACAATGACTAAGCAAAATATGGACTTACTGTTGCTAGAAGGCAACATAAGCATCACCTCCTTAGTGCCCCTGTTGGTATGTTAATTTAAAAGTCTGGGAATTAGTGTGAGAGTAGTGCTAAGTTACTCACAGAAAAATTTACAGTTACTTCATAGATAAACAAACATTTCAACTAATGCTTACAAACACACATAATATTTATAATAGGAAGCAAAATTGAAATTCTGCTTAAGGTCAAGACGTCATTAGCATAAAATCAAGCATAAAAATTCTCACCACAATTACTTTTAATCGTGACCTACATGCATTGGTGCTTGGATTATGGTGGAGGTCCGGCACCACTAGCAAAATTTTTATGGTGACAGTACTGCCACCAAGTATCAAAAGTAAACACCTTTTCACACACAAATTGATGGAAACAAAACATCAAAGCATTGGTTGATAATAACTAATGTTAAAACTAATCAAAGAACTTTACAAGCACCCAAATGGTGAGAACTAGGGATAAAATAGAGAAAATGTACACAAAAGCTCATTTCCTGCAATTTTCACATGATGTCATGACGATGTAAAAGCCCACTGATTTCTGACTGGTTGAGGGTACCATTTTACGGATGTATTCAAGCCGAAAGTGGAACACTGCTCAACTCATCTTACACCATGTTCTGGAATACAATATGGTCACGTGCTTAAAAATAATCACACCGAAAGTTTTTAAGCTAGTTGAATCTTGGCCTAATAGTGCTGCAGAATATTAAAAACTTGAAAAATGTAGAAATCACCAATTTCAGCCTTTTAATGATAAATAATGTTATAAATGTTTGCTACATTACCTACCATATTGCTTGTTAAAACAATTATATTATATGCCACATTTGTTTGATTTTAATATGCACTATTATTTTGAAATTGAATTTTAAAATTACTTTTTTTTTTTTATAGAGGAAAAAATTTTTAATACCATAATTTTGAACAGATTGCTGTACAAGTTGAGCCCACATATTACAGCAGTGTTTCTCAATGGGATGATATCACCCCCATGTGGGCATTTTTCCATGTTGAGGGGGCAATTTGTAAAAATTTGTATTTTGGGGCGCGAAAAACAATTTTCTGGGTGATATAGTGAAACATTATACTAGTCACTAGTCTATTCAATGCAGTACAAATTTGGTGTTAGCCTTGGCCCTCGACATCAGAATTTTGAAGTGAAGGGGCGATACTATGTAAATGTTTTATTGAAGGGGGTGACAATTCATTACAGGTTGAGAAACACTGTATTACAGTATAATTATATTTACATTTACCTGTGTTTCTACAAAACACAGGTAAATGTAAATATAAGTGCACTGTAATTTTTTGTAACACAATCTTAAGCAATATTGTAACCTAGTATACTTACAATATTAAGTAAATCTGAGAATCGAACTGAATTTGACACCCCAAAATGCATCTTTATAATGCATATACCAAATAAAGTTTTATTTCTGTTGTTTCCAACATCTACTGTTTGATAAGTCTGTAACAAAGCAACACCATGCTTTAGATCCTTCAATACATATTATTTTTGTTTGCACATCTTTTATTGATTCTGCTTTTATTCTTTAAACACAAAGCTGAATGCTTTCTGCATTTTGCTTAAATAAAAAATACATAAAGACACTAAACACACTTTTCCAGCAACCAAATTTAGTATCTTGATATATTGGTGAAGTTACAGATTTGACTTTTATTGATTAAATAAAAAATGCTAAGTGCATTTGGAAACCAGAAATAAATGCATCATTATTTATCATGAAGTATCCTTATAATGAAATTTCACTCAGTCTCCTTCATGTTCATTATACTGTATACTGGCTAGACTGTAAAACTAACACTAGCATATACCTCTCAAAAAATGCTAGAATGGACATAAAACCTTTGCATAATCTGCACACCAAGTGTCTGTTGAAGACACATTACTTACCCATATATAGTTTTGAATGCATTGTCTCAAACATTTGTTTCTTTTGCTTTATTTCTGTTAGCAGTTCATTGTAGATGTAATTATAAAATAGATGAAATACAGGAAAGAAAAAAAATATTTGAGGTAGTTTTCTAAATTGCACAAGTTTTGAAAATAAAACTCTTAATTTTCTTA